CCCTGAAGAACTTCCAGACTAATACAAATACTACTGGAACTGAAGAATATTGTATTACATAAAAGCAATTAAAAGGCTCTTTTAGTTAAGAGCTTTTTCCCCCCTAGAGATAAAATACAGGAAGTCTTTAAATGCAAATGTTAGTCACTGTGCTTAATTCTAAAAAATGACATTAATAATGGGTTGAAAAAAAATTGCATATATATAATGAAATATATAAAAAAACCCATTATAAACTACACTTGGAAATTACTAGAAACTGCTACTGGTATAATCTGTCTTTGCTAATGCCAAGAAACTGGTGTTCTTAACCAGGAAGAATTTGTATGCAAAACACAGGTACACATCTACACACAGAATATAATTTGTCTTGTATGATTTGGCAAATCAACATGTAGTTCTAAAAATTAAGAATGTTTTACAGTATCCAACATTTACCTGTTGAAAAACATCTGCCCCTTCATCATAATCCACTATTGTGAAAAAGAGTTTGTTTGAAAAAGCAGATGAATAGCGCCATGAATTAGCCAGTACTTGATATTCTTCATTAGCTTGCCTGTTAAGGAAAAGAAAAAAACGTACATCCATGTAGCATTCACTGTCAAAAAAGACTCTATAACCAGCTGCAGCGTTTAGATGAATTATACTTGCAGTATCATTCTCAACACACAATCAATTAAAAACAGTTTCAGCTAGTTATGCAACTCTTCAAACTTCCCTTCTGCAAAATGAGAAATGTGTTAATTCAAACTATAACAGAGATACATCCCAAGATGATGCTAACAAAAAGTAATGTTTTCCATATTTAAAAGTCTCAGGAGTGGCCTGAGTGGCAAGCATCACACAAAACTGCTAACAGATTCATGCAAGGAGATGCTTACTTGGCCCTTGAGTATGATATCAAGATTTACTTGCTGGAGATAGCTGCATGTAAGGAATTCTGAAACTATTGGAAAAATAACACAGAAATGTTGTTGGCGCTTAAAGAGCTGAAGCTGCAAGCAATTTTGGCCTTGGGCAATTAAGCCCTGATTTTGAGTGAGAAAGAATGCAAGAAAAACAAGATAAGAAACTTCTTATGTAACTAGTCAGAAGTAAAAACAATGCCTCATGAACAGGTGGATTTATCGAATCAAGTATTATAACCAGGCGTGTGAACAGTAGCTTTTAGCCAATGAAGAGTTTTTATGTGTGTGTGTGTGTCTTAGCAGCTTAAAAGTATATAAGTGATCATGTAACCAATAATAAAGGTCTCCATAGAATTCACGTTGTATCGTGTGTGGAGTCCATGGGTGAATCCCTCTTGGCAAAATGTGATAGTAGTAATCTTCCTAAAATACCAGAGCCATAGAGTCACAGAAACTGCAAAGCACTGGGGAAATGATACTAATTAAATGAGCAGTAGGCTTGCAAGTAGCATAATACACTCAAGATTATTTCTATCAAACTAGAGGCCAAACCAAGGTTCTACCACTTGGAAACTTATCTCTGCATGTGGTAAGATGCAGAAGTAGTATAAATAAACATATTCTGCAGCTTTTCTCAAACCATTGTTTCTATAAACAATCTCCACGTGTTTGATGGTGCAGAATGCTGTTTATTTAAAAGCTGTAGATGCAAAATCTGTTTGTTGCAAGAGAAACTCTGCACTAAACACACATAATACATATTGTATTTTGAGAGAGCAAAGACAGGCAAGATGATGACAGGACTACAGATGTCATAAGACCCTCCCCATTTCCTCATAAGTGAGATCAGCCTTAGGCATGAATATATTACATATAACTCCAGCAGAGTTGTGTTGTATCAAGGAATTTATTGTACATGAAAAAATGTATCTCAAAAAAAGATAAAATTAAGTTTTATTATCTCTTACCCCCTCAAAGAATAAATCTTATGAAGCACAATAAAACCCAACTTTCACCCTTAGTACCTGATTGAGTAAAATTTACTACCTAACACACTTACTCAACAGGTAAAGTTTGCAATTATAAAAAACAATGTGATTTAGGCATTAGAATGGCTATTTCTAGAAACAGATACTAACATTAAGCAGACTAACATATTCACTGTCATCCTGAAGAGGGCAGTCAGACAACATCAAAGGAATGCTGTAAAATCTTAAGTAATATCTGTAGGGCACTGTTCTGTTAAACCTACTATATTAAAGCTGGACCACTTTTATCATAAGAACAAGATAAAAATCACTTCATCTTGATGCCATCATTCTTTTTAGTCTACTTTTCATTTGTGGTGAAACAGTATTTCTGGGAAATTCAGATACTCCCGTTATTTTAGAGAAGACTTTTGTTCCTGTTGATCTCCATGTATTTTGCATCTTTGAACTATTTTGAACGAATATAATAGGTAGAAAGTATATTTCAGAAAGCATCATTTTGCAAAAGGTTGTCTTAGATTTTCTATAACAGATTCAAAGCACAATGTCATCCTCACACTGAAGATAGCAAAGTATTCTGTAACATATCCTCATAGCAGCTCCTGAGGGGTGTCGAGAAGTGAGAGTGTAACAAGGTGAGGCAGGAACACAAAGTTCCAGCATTACCACATACAGAACTGAAGAACATCCTACAGCCCACTATATTATTTCCAATGGCTACAATGCTGATACAATCACATTAATAACTTTTTGTAGCTTTGGTGACTCCTTTTCAGATGCAGTAATATCAAAAAGCATAAGCATTTGGCTGAAAAAATTCAGCCTCCGCTTAACATCAGGCAATACCAGCTCTGTCTTTTCTTACCCACCTATGACTATTGTTAGTTACTTTAAAGTCTATCAGGTTGCTTCTATGAAGTAAAGTTAATTATATGAAATTTTTATAATAATTATGAGAAATACTATAAAGGCATAGGGCAGAACTACATTTGGTATGAACTCATCAGAATAATAACCTTAGCACTGCTCTTGTTAGTTTGACAAGATTATTGATAGATGGAGAAGATTTAAATGTTATTGCTGCTACAGTCACCTCTTAAGAATTTCATCATAACAGCAACACAGGAACTAGCAACAACAACAGTAGCACTAACCAGCTACTAGAAAATAGTGGCCAGATCAAAAGAGAATGCTACTATTAGATTTACCTAGAAAATTCAACATACTGAAAAACAAACTGCTAAAGAAAAGGCTCTACAAATATTTTTTCCACTATGCAAGAGAGGCTCATGAAATATTAGAAGTTTTATTCAAGAAGATTAATTATATGGGTGTCTATGGCAGATAATCAGATCTGTATAGCCTGAGCTATATTAAATTAGATTAATTTTATTCTATTAGTCCAACATCATAGCAAAGGAAACAGAAACAGAATATGAGGGGAAGAATAAAAGACAGTGGAATTATTTGCCAAAGAAAGCAGTAAAGTACTTTTTTTTTGGCACACTATGAACTGTACAATATACTTACAAATGTACAATTGGCAAAGAATGCACTACAAGGTCACCTACTCATTCTTATCCATCTGTTTAAAATAAACTGCGATCAATGCTGCAATTTACCTCTAAACAACTTTTGTTTTTTATTTGGATGCATTTTCACAAAATGAAGAGACGAAGGGGCTAAGTGTATATTTTGACTTCTTCTCAATATCAAGAAGATAATAAATTCAGAATGCTTATTCTCTTTTATTTTTGTTTAGGGTGACTAAATGTCACAAAAAAACCACTGAAGAATCTACAAATGTGTCCAGAAAATTCATCACATATGAGAAAATGAAGAGAGCATGGACACTAGTTGAAAACTACATTGTTCATGCAATCTAAATATCTATAATAGGAGAAAGCAAGCTAAAATCCATGTTATTCTATTTACAGCATCCCATGAAATTTCCATTATTCTGCAGATTAAAGAAACTATGAGATCTCATTTTGTAGAAGTTGCAAAGAAAAAAAAAAAAATTATGACCAGAGGAAGAATAAGGAGTCTCTTATGATCCAAGTATAGAACTAGTGCCTTGTTAAACAGGACTCATCAATACTCCTCCAAGTGCAGTGGAAAAGCAATTGCAGAACTCTCAACAGCTCCTTCCACATTTCCTGTTCCTTCTTTGAACAAAAGTTCAAAAGATAATTCCCTCTCAGTACAGTTAAGAGACCTGTCAATGATTTTCTCACTATCCACTCTTGATCAACCAGCAAAAAAATTGGAAGGCAGAGGATCCTGTTTCTTCTTTCTGATGACACCTCCCTGACTGTCAGAATTCTTTTTTTTTGTTGACCTACTGTTTGATCGGCTACTTGAAAACAGTTTTCTGAGATATCTTCTTGAACAGGGAAACCAACAGAATTCCTCTCTTTTCTAGATTAAAAACCTCTCCTTGGAGGCCTCATTGATAGAGTAGATGTTAATAAAATCACATGGAATCCTTTCTCATATATTTTGTCATTTACTTCTGCACATTGTAAGTCAACAGCAGAAGGCAGCTACATTCAGAGCCCTTTATGAAACATATACTAGATTAAGCTCAAAATCTAAAAATACAGAAATTGTATGTTGAATTATAACCTACCTTTTATATAATCCTGTAGGAAATACAGAAGGAATAGCTTAAGCAGTTGACTTTGAGCTCACAGTGCAGCAGACTTTCTGCAGTAACTACAAGCTTGTTCAAACAGATGCCATTAATAAATTCTGATGGAATTCAGCCTTGTCACTCAAATGAAACAAAATTAGTCTTTAGAAAACACGTGTCACACCTGCAAAATTGACCTATCTCCCTCACATATTACATATATATTTTATATATATACTTTATATGTACTTTTACACACATACGTAGATATAGTCACACACAATTTCAGTTAATGGGAGTAATCAGTGCTCCTTTCAATATAATGAAACTTCTGATGCTTTAAAAAATGCAATAGTCTAGTCAACATGGGAGTGAAGAAAATTACTGGCTGCACAAACTCCTCTGCATTACCAGCCATTTCTAGCTTCTTCTTCATAAACACTTCAATTTTTCTCCTGCTCATTTATGATGCCAATTTTAGGTTTTAATCTTGATTTGCAGTGATTGAAACAGGCTGTTACACCTTTAAAAGAAACATTTAGGAATTCACATTCATAAACAAGCATAGTAGAAAGTGAGGAAAATAAAAGCCATTTGTTTCAGGTAGCTTGAAATTCAGAGAGAGATGTACATGTCTAATTTACATGTTTAAAGTATTATTACATAACAAACAAGTGACACGGGTCAAGGTATAGACACTATCCACTGAAACTCAGTATCTTCAGCCTCTGACACTGCCCTGATGTTTTCAAGGAACACTACTCTAAGGAGGAAAAAAAAAAAAAAAAAAAAGAAACAAAAAACCCCCAAGCAACCAACCAAACAAAAGCCAACAAAACAAAATATGCATCTGTTTACTGATGGGCTTCAGTTGTTGGGGGGAAAAAAACTCAACTGATCAGTTTCATTTCTCTGACCCAATTATCTCTTTCTAAAAGAAAATACCTCAGCAATGAATTTGAAAAATTAACCAGAAAAAAATGCAAACTGTTTGGCAACAAACAAGATATTTCACTGGCAGAAG